AACGTAAAGAAGGGAGTTTCAGAGATCTAGCATCTCGAACATTTAAGTGAAATGCTGCCTAGAGTGGACTATGTCCTTAAAAAGGAGATACCTGTTTAAGGACTGCGCACGATATTCTTAATTCTTCACATCGATCTTACACAAAAATTCCGCAGTATATGTGGTCCAATTCGAGAGATTAAAAAAAAGTAAAATTGCAACCAGTAAAAAAAAAGCAAATTGAGAAAAACTTTATTATTAGCAAAAGTGGGGTGGATAGTTTGTACGAAGATAAAACTATCAGTTATCCTAAGTTAATCTATCTTCAGGAGGTTGTATGTAACGTCAATTGTACTAAAAAGTCCCTGTTATCTAAAGTCTAATTCTCATCTGTATTAGAGTCATTTCACATTTCAGGTTCTCAGAAGCACATTTCAACCTTTCACAACTTTATTACAGAAGATATCACATATAATAATAATAATACTGTAAAATTTGATTACACCAATGGAAAGAGCATCAAAAATCCTATGAAGTTTGTTAGTTTTTTGTTATTGTAACCTTAACAAAAGAAAATTCAAAATCACTAAGAAGAAAACATCAGCAAGTTCAACAAAACATTAGCGATGTCTTACAGAATAAGCTACGAATAAGCTGTCCTTAATTTCTAAAGTTCAATTACCGCCAAACTAAAATTAAAATTTAAATATTGCAGATTTGATTTTTCAGTTACAATTGATTAACAAATAGTCATTAAGATTTTGAAACCTCTATTGAAAAATAATGGAAGTATAACAAAGTAAACAAAAAGATTCTTTGGTAAAAAATTGAAAATAAGCAAAACAATAACCTTGAAATCAGTAATACCTGCGAGAAAACTATCTCAGGCTTGTACTGTTCAAGAAGTTGGATAATGTAAGTATTTTGGCTCTTTTTGATTTTTCTTGCGTTCACTTTTGTATCAATTTCCTTTGTATTGCTTTCCTTGTTTTTTAATATAGGTTTCAAAATTTTACTGAATGATTTTTTTTTAACCGCTTGTAACCAAAAAATATTATTGAAACAATTAAACGTTAATTTGATACTGGTGATAACTGGCCTTTGAAAAATTAGGTACACGTATTTACAAAGGGCAACATTTCGGAAAGCACCGTATCGGTCAATATTTATATAACTATGAAAATTTTACTTAAACTTTAGACAAGAACTTTAAAAACTCTTAAAAGTTTATCTTCTAACTGACTGATTTTGGATTTTGTTTGCTTAAGGTTACAATAAAACAAGCAAATGAATCTCAGGATTTTGAATGAGCTTTCCATTGGCTTTATCAAATTCACAGGAGGATAACATTTTTTGACATACGATGGACTTTATGGATTGTGAAAGGTTGATGTAACAAGAAAAGCGAAATGTGTATCTCTAACAAGATTGACAATCAGTTTATCTTCTACAATAGGGAATTTTTAGTCCAATTTGACATGTAGGATAATCTCCTGAAGTATTGACGTCTATCTAGTGATAATATAATTATAATAAAATAGTCTAGTGATAAACATATCATAAAATATTTGCTTCTTTTCAAACGCAGTTGTTATTTAAGTGATATCAACACGTTTCAAAAGACAAGTTATTGTTGACGTATTTATTAATTTTCTTCTGCAATTTTATCTACTTTAATGTATGAAACAAAGTATATTTTAAAAAAGAGTTCTAAGCTTCAATGTATTATGACCGGCTTATATGCTATAAATGACCCTTAATCCGGACGATGATGGGACTTGTAGGTTGAGGAGAAAACGGTCTCGGCTCGTTCGGCCCGGGCGTTCCACATAACTCGGAGATGGTACCGAATTCGGATACTTTCCAAACGGTCCAGAAACAATTCATTCTTAAGAACGGTTCTAACCTTTCCAGTCCTTTCGCGGTGGTGCAAGAGTCAGGGCAGGTGGCTGGAAGCCCTGGAAATTTGCAAGAAGTATTGAGACAACCGAGGCGTCGTCTCGAAACCAGGCAGAAACTCGACGACGGTTGCGTAATGCAATTTTCCAAAAAAATGAAACGAAGCCTTTCGTCTCACGAGTTGACAAACAGTCGACCACGTAAGAGATCTCCTTCTTACCACTAGGGTATAGTAATGAATGAAAATTCAAAAACCTTTGGATTTACATTTCAATAAAATATTTATATATAAACATAATAAAACAACTGTTAAAAGAATTAAACATTTATTTCTATATTAGGAAGCACAAATTATGACAAATTAATTAGTCGATCACCGAACAGATTGTTGTATTAGGCAATTATCAGTCTCAATTAATGAAGGTTTTCTCTAGTGTTTCCAAGGTGCTCATCTATCTCCACTTATATTTATCATTTTCAACGACCCCCCTCCCTAATACTCAACTTTACACATTAGAGATTAGAGATTCAAACGAAGCTTTGTATGCGATTATGATGGTTTCTTTAAAGAACCATTGTCTCGAGATAGTTTGGCGAAAGAAAGTGTTAGTTTGTTCAAGAGTTTGGTTTCTGTGGTGTCTATGATATATTTGAGTCTAAAGTTAGACCAAAATAAGCTGTTTGGTTTAACACCCTCAGTGAAGGGCAGCCTCACGTTGAAGAATCGAGTAAATTTTTAAGATGAGGCATGAATGACATTATTAACGGGCTGGTCAAGATGAGTTTGTACTCGCTGAAACCACTGTTTTCTCAGAATTTGTTATGAACTTTTGATTATGAGACCAAAGTAGTCGTCTATGGAAGAGTGTTGAACTTTTGTGATAGTAGCTGATCTAGTACGAGCAAGAGTACACATCTGCTCAGAAAAGTACATTATCCGCACTAATTCGGACGGCTTTATTGATTTCGTTCACATAAATACTATACTACCAAGGCCCTGTAACAAACTACTTTGAAGAACACTACTAATTTTGCAAAGATCACTGAACTGATCGGCAATTTTTACCGTCCATTGTCTATTAGTTAACTAGCTCTGAAAAATGGTAATGCTATTTCACTGTGTCTGTACCTGAAATTAGACTTTTTCAAGGATTCCAACAACCTACAATGGCCACCAAATTATCAAATGCCTTCTATGCCGTATAAAGATACCTACAAGAAAATAGTTTTCTTACAGAAGTTCCAGTATCGTAGTAAGATCAATTCTACTATTCTCCTGTTTGGAATCCCTCACTACTACAACTATTAACTGCAATCTTTACAATTTAAAATTTTTACGAGTTAGGTAAAGAATAGAAGTATTAATGGCTATAAGGAATTTGAACATTCTTTTTAACTTACTTCCTCTAGAAGTCATATTCCTTTAACTCTATTAATTGGTGTTCCATCTTTATTTAGCCGAATAAACTTTTCTGTACTGAGTTATTTGACCAGGTTTCATATTTTAATATATTTAGTACCGTTCTACTAATTACAGTAAAAATATCTCCTTGACGGATTATGCGATCCTTCAATAATTTTGATTCTTCCTATATTTAATTCTTTTCTCTCTGCATTCTACAAACAAGTTCGAAGAGAAGTTAAATCATGAATTTACATTAGCATATTTTAAGTTATATTTTTCTTTTATAACTTTACAACCCTTTAGTATTTATTATAATATTTTTTTAGATAATAAATCACTTAATTTGTATTTCTTACTTGTTTTTAACAGTTTCTAACTCAATTCATTTAAATCAGCATTTGTTATTTTGTAATTTTTATATCTATTTAACTGCATAATTTTAAAAGGATATTGTAACATTTTATTCGAAACAAAAAATCACTAATTTTGATTCGATTTTTTTTAAATTAGTATTATTATTTTTTAATTTTAACTGTTTATTCTAATAAACAAATCCAAATGTGCATTCCTCTTAGCTCGTTTTTTATAAATTTTTTTAAGTAAAACAATTTCTATCTATTGTGTTTTAATTAATATGATCCGTTTACTCTCATAAATAAATATAAAATTTGCTCTCTTTTTGGCTCAATTTCTCGTAGAGTAGGATGATTACTATCGTATGTTCTTTTTAAATTTTATTCGTTTATCCTAATAACTAAATAAGTAAAAATTAGCACTCCTTTTGGCTAGTTTTCTCTTAAAGTAGTATGATTATTATCATTGTATTTTGTTTACAGTAATAAATAAAAAATTGGCAAACCTTGTGGCTCGTTTTTCCTTAAGGTAGTATAACTACTATTGTATTTTTATTCATTTTATCGGTCTTATCATAATTCAATCAACTGCTGTTGAGATGGATTTAAACCAAATCAATATTTAAAAAACAAAAAGTTCGATGTTATCCATCTGTGTAAAATTACAATTCATCCTTGGACGCAGGTAAAATAATATATTTACACATTCATGAGTGGGCGAGGCATTGAGTTTTTAATATTTCTAAGGACATTTGACACCTTCACAATGTCCCTTTACTTGTTAACCGGATACAAAGCATATCCTGCTTATTTTTCTGTAAAGTATCTGTCCTTAATATTCTATTTTGCCTTGTGATTACGTTTAGACTTTTACTGCATGAAGGAAATCACAGTTTTTTACGTTTTACAGCAAGTATATTATTTTTCTAGTGTTGTGGAATTTTCGTTTAAACATGTTGATGTAAAAACGTTCAATGCGATATGTGATAAAATAATGAAATTAAATAGCACTGAGAATCGGTAATTTTTAATATTTTCTCCAGGAAAGAATTGATTGTTGAATGAAAACGCATACGGAAACTATATTATTTAGTTTTTACTTCTTAGATGTTTTATTACTTTAAGATCTATTCATGTTATGATTAGGATCTAAATACAAGAAATTCCTGACTTACAGGAGTGCTTAACGCCCCTATATATAATACATAAGCTGTAGCCTTTTATATATTATATTCAGATCGTTCTGTCGCAGACCAATTTATCGAGAATGATCTGTCAAGACCTAGGAGTCGTGCGGGTTTATACCCACGTGGTCAAAAACTGAAAAAAAAATCATAACGCCAATTTAATTTCATGCGTCTCACCTTTTTTTTTGTTTAAGCTAGCCTTGCAAATTGGTGTAAATTGCACACAGGTCAACGTTTACAACAAAGAAGGGGGTTGTTGATTTTTCGTTAAACTCAAAGAGGTACACAACCGTACATACCGACACAGACTTTGGTACTGGACCAGGGCCGAACTCAGAAGCATCATCAAGTTGAAAGACCTACTTGTCCGGGTGGCGCATGCGTTCCGGTGCCCCACTCCTTCGAGTTCACCGACCACTAAAGAACAGGATGAAATGTCCATTGAGATCCTTTGCCAAAGAGGCGATGACTCTTTTTCCAATTCGTGTCCGAACGGTTGTTTTTCAATTTCTGATGCAGGAGATTAGGTAATATTTAGATGAACCTGCCAAGAGAAGAAGTAAAAAAAGACGCAGCGTCCTTTCTGACCTCCATGCTCTTGGCGACATCGAAAGAATTCTAACACAAGTATTCACACTAATACTTTAAAGTTGAAACCACAAAAATTAGCAATTTTGTTTGAAGAAAGATCATAAAATCTGCGAACTAGTGTTTTTTTCTTTCGTTTTCAAATTACCGTAGTTCTTGAACGAATCGTCTAAAAAAGAGACACATTAGGCAAACCCCGTTTTATTGTTCTAATTGATCATGAAGATGGCGGAAGACTAGTAAGCAGGGGTTTTGTATTCCCCAAGTACTGGAGTCTTCTGGCTTATTGTAATTTTTCTTAGTTCATTAGCAGTTTGGTTGACTAGATCCTTCCCTTGAAAACTATAATTCATTGTTGCCATTCTTTCCCCTGGGCCTTCATAATAAAATATATGTCCCAAATGAACAGTTGCTTCACATCCAAGGTAATAAAGGTGCCAGATTCTTCCACCTTTAGGTACTTGAGACTGGTATATAGCCCTGACACTCGTCTGAGTTTTAATCTGTCTAACTGTGGCAAATGTAGCCAGTTTTGTGAGGGTTCTTTAAGTTTACTTTATCTGCACCTGTGGAGTTCCACTCTCCTATAATATTTTGTGGACCCATTTTGAGAAGAAGGATTCTGTATTTGTCTTTGTTATTCCACCGAGGTTCAGGGCCATATATGTTTTTTCCTTCTGACAAGTTTGTCGGCTTTTACATTACCCAGAATTACTTTGTGTCCTGGTGTCAGGTTGGTGTGTTTCCCTTCGTATGTTGGTTGTGACTTTTTTACGGCTGCTTGCCTGTCTGATCTTATACAGATTTTTTGCCAATGTAACCTCTTTTAATATTCGATTTTAATTAAATATATGTTTTTGTAGAAAAAGCTTGAAATTTTAAGCCTTGCAAAGAACATGATAAATAGTGGATGTAGCATTTTCCACTATTACACAAATATGAGGTCCAGCAAGTAAGAAAATATTACCTTACTTGGTCCAAGTAAGAAGCTGAAAGGTAGGAAAAGCTGTTAATAAATAATAAACAAATCAATAAGCTTAGAAAGGTGCATCGATGGCCACATCAGTAAAGCGTTGACATGGTGCTCAACTACTAGCCAACTACCACCACTGAATAGCCAAACTTTTCAATGAATTTGGTTATTGTTCCAACTTAAGCACAATTAGTTGTGGTTCTGGTCCAATGGGTGTTTTTTTTTTTTTTTTTTTTTTTTTTTTTGGGACTAGTTGATCAGCCTATTCATTTTCTTCTGTCTTCATGTCCAATAATCTACTTAAGGTAATTTTGTTTTGCTTTCCCAGAGTCTATGTAGTTGAAAGCATACGCATTTAGTGTCTTTATGGCTGCTTGGCTGTCTGAGAGTATTTATAACTGTGCATGTTTTTCCTTATTAACACTTGTGCACAGAGTTGCATTGTTTGGACTTCAGCTTGGGAAATCGTTAATGTTAGTTCAAGGCACTTTGCTAGGGTAAAGTTCAGTTCTCTAACTTTTTTATGCCTACTTCCTTTTTGATCTTTGATCCATATTTGTACCATATTAAGGAACCTTCTTGAAGCTTGGGACCACCTTTCTTCCCAAAGTCTCTATTATCTACTCCATTTGGAAGGGTTGTCAAAGTTGAGCTGCTCTCTCATTTTATCAGACACCATTGTAGCTATCTCATTTATTTCAAATCTTTTTTTAATTTTGTGGTAGCTCCTCCTTAGATCTGGTTTTATTTTTTTTATATCTCAGGAGACTGTTGATTCTCAAAAGCCACCTTTTGTAGTGGATATAGATATGTAAGGCTGGGAGGTCTGGGTCTCCTTTTGTAGTGTTCTTGGCCACCAAGCTAGAGTTCCATATGTCACCAAGGGCCTAACTGTTATGGTGTATAATCTTTACACGTAATTTTTAATGTGTCATCTTTGCTCAATGCTTAATAGAGCTTTGGCTTTTTTCAAGATGTTGCTTATGTTTTCCCTATTTGAGATTTTGGTCTTGTTTGGAGAAACAAAGAACTTTGTTTCTTTAAGGAAAGTTAAGGCTTCACCTTTTATAGGTGGGCGTCTTTATTTTAAGCTTCCTTATTTTGGTGAAGGGTATGTCTTTTTACGGTTTACATTTAAACTTTTTCTCACAGAGACACCATCTTCCTATAATATTTAGGGTATATTGCACTTGATTTGAGAGAATGTACTGTCATGTTCTTCGCTGTTGACCTGTACCTTGTAGTGTCTTGTTTGACAAAACTCCAGACGGAGAGGTCAATCAAGTACATAGGGTGAGATGAGTTAAAAAGACGAATAATTGCTGCAGCACAGAAATTTAAGGAGAAATTAAATCTCTCAGTACTGAGGGAGCTGTTCGGAAACGAGCAAGGTTGTGAGTACATTATTGTTTTTATTTAAATTAAGTTAATTAAGTTGGTAAGTAATTATCATTTTCAATTTTTATACAAAGATGGTTGAGAAGAAAAGTTAGTGTCAGGAGCGGGATTTGAACAACGACCTTTGGCCAAAAGTTGGGAAAATGTGATTTAATAGCATAAGGTCTGATTTTTGTTATGAAAAACACAAGAACAATCATAACTCCGTATTGAACAGAGATAGGGCACCCACTCTGGCAGCATTCTACTTCATTTTCAATGAAGTTTCAGCCAAAATTTTTTTCACGGATCCAAATCCACCCTGTATATACTGGTATATATGTATATATATACCACCAGTGCCACCAACAACTCTTATTAGTTTTAATTTGCAGGTGAATTGTTAATGTTACACACTTTGCAACAAAAAACAGTCGTGTTTAAAAGGCAGGAAAGTAATTAAAAACTTTAAAGACAGAATCATATATTTATTATAAAAAGGCACTGAGTGAAACAATTCTTTTAAAAATTTGATATTCTAATACAGCAACCAATACTAAACTATAACTAATTAGAAAAAGAATATATTTAAAAATACCAAAGATATAATGGAATAACATAATTAAATCAATTTGGTTAACAAACTTAAATTTTAATAATGGCACATTCTTGGTATTGCACTTTTTGTAATAAAAATAATTGAAAGGCTTCAACCAAACATATTCTTCTAAGTGATAAAACCTATTCGAGTATAAATATAAGGTTATAAATTTAACTTAACAATCTATTAATTACTAAACATATAACAAAGTCTGAAATACGAACAATCCCAGCTAATTGATGTTTCTGTTTTCGCTGAACCTTTATCACTGAGGGTCCAATTAAATTAGAAAGTTGAGATTGTTCTAAATGATCTTGAAAAAGTAATCCCAAAATTTAACATAAATAAATTATTATCTAATTAAACAACCAGGACCTAAAATGTGGACCATGTTTAAAAAATGTAATGATAAACGCAACAATATTTAACTTATTAAATATAAACTAAATATATATATAAACCAAGTAGTTAGTATTGTCCACTAAGCTCAAATATTGTTTGCCTAAAAGTCCCTTCCCACCCACAAAAACAGTAATTATTTGTTTCTTCTTTATTGTATATTAAAAATGACCAATTTTAATATCTTTGTGGTTTAAAAGAAATATATTTCATTTATCTTTACGCAGATTTTAATAACAATTAGATAAATAAAGTAGAACCATTACACTATAAGAATTTTAATTTTTTTTAAATCAGTTACAAGTTGCTATGGTCCTTTATTTATTTATTTATTTTTTATAAATAATATTGCTTTAACATTGGATTTAACAAAAATTGATTTTTTTGAATGTTTCACTTTTGTGTGTATTAATCTATTTTTCACTCTACCATTCTTTTATTATATATTAATTGTAGTTTATGTATAAAATATTTCATTTTGTGTGCCAAAAATCTTTAATTTTCTCTACTGATCCTACATTTAACAAAAGGCGATTTAAAAGCTCAAAATAAAATTTTGTCACTGAAGACTTTAGGAAGATGGCATCATTGTCATAAAATTAAAAAACATACAAGATTTACTTTATGTACTTTGAATGTGAAAAGTATTAATAAACAATTTATCAATGGACAAATGAATCAATTAAATCACAGTGCTTTAACTAGAGGCCACTTAATTCGATATGGCTATTTTATGGCACAGAATAAATTCTAGTATTGGCATTTTTTTTATTTTAATTGTACTTTCAGTATTGGGTGTGCTTAATTTAAATTACAATAATAATCGAGTAAACTCAGGATGAATTAGATTTTTTTTTAAACCAATTCTGTTAAGGTTTACATGGTATCGTAGTAAAATATACATTACTTTGTTTTGTTTCACCATATTTTTAAATGCTAATTATTATCCTATTGAACCTATTCATATGGCAATATATATCGATAGGAAACATTGTAATTTGGCAATAAAAGATCATTTAAAGTTCAGGATTTGGTGTGGTAGTTACAGTCGGCGAATCTTCTGTGTCGCTTATATATCCCTCTTCGTGTAGGTATCTTGTTGGATAGATAACCAACGGCTGTGAGGAAAGGGCCACCAAGTCTCTTATGGGGTAAAATGCCTTCCATTGTTCCCTAGAAAAAGTGTTTTATGAAAGATTTAATATTTTCATGAAAATAACAATCTTACTCAGGATGTTTGTCGTAAAGAATAGGCAGGTATTCATCAACAGGTAGTATATTGCTCAACGGATCCTGCCTGATCAACTTAGCTGCTCCAGAAGCCGAAAGCAAATAGCCAATGGTCCAGTAGGAGTAGGAGGCATAGACTAGAAGCTGAGATCCTTCGACAGGTTCTTCACTACTTTCATCCAACCTTTTCCGTCCGAGGTATCTGAAATGAAAAGTACAATTTGTTATAACTCTTTTGTATAACTTTGTCCTTTCATATTTACAGAAACAGACTTTTTTTTGTACTTTATACTCACAAAGTTTACTGAGTTTACAAATGCATCTAGATCTTATATGATGATGCAAAAACAATTTCATGCACACATGTGCTTTCAAAGTGAAATTGTAAAATAAAAAATTGCAAACTCACATCAAATCCCATTCAATAGGAAGATTTCTTATTTCTTCGAGTAAACTGTGCATCTTTTGATTGAAAAATGGCTCAAATCGTACATCGTCTTCTAGGACCATTACCATATTATAGTTATTACGAACAGCCTGAAAAGAAAATAAGGAAAAAAATGTTTATGAGTCAATAATTTATTTACAACTATTCTGACAGCGAAAGAAACATCAGTTGGGGAAAAAAATTAACAAACCAAAAAGGTTGGTGGTGGATGTTAGCCTGTGAGTCAGTAAACACATGTTTACCCCTGGGTCGCTTATTTGGTCTGTTACTGACAGTTTGTCACTGAAGTAGGAATAAAGCTGAAATGTGTTGAGTGACATTGAAAGCCCCATAAATGGGTCCATTAAGTGACCCAGCCTCAGTTCAAAACCAAAAAGGAATAGCTTAATTTCATCTCATTCTCAGATATAGTATTTAAAAATATTTGTTGAAAAAATAATAATTTACAAAATTATTAGCACTTACTTGTTCCCAGATTTTGTAGTGACTCAAAAAACAGCCGATTTCACCCCTCTTCATTGGTCTGAAATAAATAAAACATTGACGATAATTTTATGATGAGTTGTGTACCTTGTCAGTGAAAAAAGTAAATAACACAATATATATTACTTTAGCAATAGTACTTTACAAAAATTACTTAGTAACATATTGTTCATTGTAATGTAGAATGAATGAATGGTTATCTCATCCACTCTACTATGCTAAACTCATAAAGTCATATTTGTACAGTAATTTGTAATATTGAAAGTAGATATTTGTTAACCATTAATATACATTGTGTGGGAATGTGCAATCAAATGTGCCCAAATCAAAAACTAAGCATGCAACTGACTGGTTTTTATCTATTTTACTTATTTTTTTCTCAATTAACGTAATTACCCAATGGTCCTTTCACCGATCTGAGTCTCTGTGCAATGCACAATTTTTACTCACTCACTTATTTCCATTAAAAAAAAAAGAAAACAAAATTTGGCCTTGTATATAACATCTTGTGATATCGGGATTCCATCCGCCATACCCGGACGGGCCTGGAGGTTGCTCGGAGTGCCCCCTTTTATACCTTTTGTTTTGATCTTGCCCTTTCTTGCAGGTGCATTGGGAGGATGTGGATAAAAATCCCTTACATCGCTTGATAGTGTAGGGTCAATTTGCCCTGAGCACTCCTCTACTCCGCAACAACTGCCCAGCTGGGCTGCCCGGACCCAGCCAGCAGAAACCCTACGTAATAGCGTACACACTATTAACAGTTCATTACTCGAGCATGATACTAAGTAATTACACGTATTTATTTAATCTCTTTATTCCATTGATCTTACTCTTACAATCCTCCATTTTAGCCTCCCTTCTCCCTCCTGCCACTTGACTAAATATCCCTCAATATATCCCTACAATATCCATATCATGTATATATAACATGTAATACAACATATATAACACCCTCGATGTTTCATTTTTCTTTTACAGACACTTTTATATGTCAAGTCCGAGATTTTGTAGGAAATCAAAAATAAGTCTATAAACACTAGATTTGCCAGACGCCAACAGATTCTTGATACGAAATGGTTAAATCACCTCCCTTTGTTCAAAGATTCAATTTAAAAGACCAAATCTGGTTGTTTCATATTCCGTATAGAAAAAGACTGTGCTTCATGGTTTCAGGTCCATCACACAATTTGACATACACAAAATAGTTAATAAGCCTGGCTAATTTGTGGAGGTGATACATGTTCAGGTCTCTGGGTGTCACTATTGCTTACATAGTAAGTAGCATCTACTAATTTTGTACTTTAATTTAAAACCATTCTATTTATTATTACTATTATTATATAACACTTTTATTTGAAAAAAAAGTATTATATGCTATGACAAAAGCCATTTGAAGGAGAAAGATGCATGATTAATTAAAAAAAGTAATATCCCAAGCCTGAACCATAGAAAAGAAAGAAATTTAATGCCATGGAGCACTTGATTTTTCTTGTCAATGACTGGTTTTCATGCAAAACTTAGTTTTTCTTATTGTTACATTTAAACCTAGTTCTTATGAATTTCATCAATCAATAAGCTGTATTTGATGCTGATGTAAAATTGTTAGGCTAAAGTTGTTTTTTAAACAAATAGCAAGACATACCTCATGTGAAATGGATCGTAGTATCCCGGCATCAATTTGACTCCAAGCCTTACGAGTTCCTCGTCTGTTAACGTTCTGAAAATAACAAAAGGATGTAAATAAGATAGTTTTACATGTTGATAAAGGAACAAACAATACTACACTGTTGCTCTATTCAATTTAGCTTGCTGTATCCTGAGAGTACAAATATTTTAACATTTTAAACGTCATTATTGTTGATGTTCTGAAACGACCTAATTAAATCTACGTTTATTGAGTTTCTGCCTTGGTAAATCTGATCGTAAGATCGCAAAAACGCGATTTTCCTTCCTCATAGACAGCTTTTAAATGAAGTACATAATAAGCGAGATATTAATAGGATAATTAAATTATTAATTATTTAAATTAATTTTTTAATTTTTTTAAACATAATTTAATTTTAACATAATAATAGTGATATCTTTAAATGTTGTATAGTCACAAATTATAGAAAAACACTACGTATAATACAGTATTAAAGATGTAGAAGCTATAAAATTTTCCCTCCCGAAATTTATGTTCGATTCGACGAAGTCCCGAAGGTGGCCAGACGGGGACTGTCGCGAAGTTTACAATTCAATTCACCGTAGATGAAGCCATGTTTGCCCGATTCATTAGGGAAATTTCAGTTTAAAAGTCGTTTAAAAGCAATTAAGTTAGTTGAACCAACGGCGGAAAAAAATATCACCTGGTAGATAGAACTTTCAACGGCGAGGACGGTGGAAAGCGAATCAAAAACTTGCTTATGAAGTTTGATACAAACAAGCAACAGATTGGAGTTTGCCTGAACGTTAATTATAAAAAAAATAATCAATATTTAGAGAGAAAAATGAAAAGCATCAATCAATACCGATTTTTACAAACAGATGCACGATAGACATATCTAGGTCGTTTTTTGACAAATTCATAGAAGATTCTGTTGCGGAAAAACGTCACATAACAAATATGTCTAAGCAGACCCGGCTAAACTATATACCCATAATAGCTAAGAAAAGGATATGGTGGGAAAACGTACTTTTGAACTATGTAGATGATACCACCCTCTTGAAAAGAATTCTTTACTTTAAGAAATGAAAATCTTCCAGGAAATCCATTAACAGAGGTAGGCACAATAGGCGAAAGTTTAATTGCTAAAGGAGAGAAATTTATAAAAACATCGGCTAGGAGAAAGAATTATCATAATCTTCAACAAGAACATTTCGTAGGAGGGTGACAACTCTGAAGAAGGTAATGTTTTGCATCTGGCGAAACCAGAAGGAAGTTTGTGGAGTTTCTTAACCGTAGTTAGACCTTAAATTGCCGTCGGAATTGGGGACAACCTGGCAGTTTCCAGGGTACCAAATGAAGAAAAGCGTCCTCCTTGTTCAAACCCCCACGTCTTATTTCACACCTTAAAATAAATAGTCGTGTTGGATTGGGGGCCTGCTTCATTCGTTTTATTTATTTGACATTTACGCTTTAGAATTAGAAAAAGGGCGTTTATAAAATTATTACGCTTTTCATAATAATTGTTAATAAATTTGTTTGAAAGGTGTTGTTGTTGTCGGTAGAAGACCGACAACATTGTTTGTGTGTTGTTCCTTGGAACTGTCGAGAAAGTCTGATAGTTTCTGTTTACAAATAGCCAAACAAGAAGTTCAGACCAGCAAACCGCACAGTCCTACCAATGACAAATCTACGGCGCTTGCCCAACCCTTTAGTGGGCAAACAGAAGCGACGAAAACTTCAACAAACAGTACAACAAATAAAATAGATATTCCAGACTTATTAATGTTATGGATAAATTACTTGGTATCATCTTAAACAATAAAAACTGAACTTTTAACGATTTCCTGTTATTTTATTACAGCATATATTTTCTTTTCAAGTTGTAAAAATATACATTAAATTCATCCGTGCCTCGGAATACAAATGAGTGGACGATTTTAATCCGAGAAATTGACCTTGTCCATTCGTGACGCACATACAGTTATTTGAAAATATAATAATTTGAAATATTTTACGACAATGACTTAGTTGATATTTTGTAAGGGGGTCATAAAGTTCCATCGGTCAGAATATATTATCTTGATTTCAATGTTTTAAACATAATATTTGAACTTGCTATACAAAATCCAGTGAAATAGCCAACCCTTACGATAATAAATAAACTCCGTGAACGTAAAATAATTGTTATCAAACAAACGAAATAATAAAAAATGTAAATATTGTTACATAATTATGATTTTCATGTAGACAAACAATTGGAGTGAAAAAAAATTGTTGACAGGTTCGCTGAGTCAGTAAATATACACCAGCCAGCATGAATATTGCAAAGATAGGATAACACAAAATTTTATTTGAAGAATAATGTGAAACGTTGCCGTGAATGGAAAACGCTGATTTCATAACGGAAATTTTTACATCTTCGTTTCAATCTTATTAATCTATTGGGCTGAAATGAAATTACATTCGCTTTATGACCCAGGCGAAATTAAATGTTTTAACATATTTATTTTGTTATTAAATAAAGGGAATGAACGTCAATTCTGTGCTGAATGCATAATATTTACGCGTGTGTTCCAGTGCTTCGTGCGGTTCCTGAGGAAGTCACAATTCCGTTTTAAACGGGGAAATTAACGTAAATATCGCAGATCCTGAACTATTATGCGTCTACAGTTAATGTTATAGTTTAGGTATAAATTGTAAGCGTGCGAGAATATTTGTTGGTTATTATACATTGGTTTCCTAGTTTCCTTTATTATTTTTTTTTTTTTTTTAATTTTTCGGAGTGATTTTCTATTTGTTTTATATTAACTCACCATAGTTTAATTAAGAATGTTAGTTTAATTACATAAATGGAAGTCCCCACTTGACCCAGCCATTCATTATGATGTGGTGTGAATAGGAAACGTATCCATTTTATTTCAAATTTCCTTCCAAAATCTTTTTTATTGAGACTTCATTACACTTAGAAACGATAAAAAAAAACTCTGTGTGTGTGTGTGTGTGTGTGTGTGAGAGAGAGAGAGAGAGAGAGAGAGAGAGAAAGAGAGAGAGAGAGAGAGAGTGTGTGTGTGTATTTGTACTATGTAACCGTGGTATTTCAAATTTAACGCAAATGTACGTGAGATGTAGTGGCGGTGTAGTTGTTATTGTAGGAAAAACTTTCAATCAGAAAATATTGGATCAGAATTCAACGAGCAATTTGTTCGAGAGGAGAAATTACGAACCAAACGATTTGGCGCAAGGGGAAGATTTTACTCAAGGGTGTAATTTAAAAAGTACAACTTTTTTCGCCAAAATACGTCTAGAAAAGTGATCTCGTTTACATTTAACTCCTGTTGCAAATCTGCGTCCAATTAGAAACTATAGTGTACTTTTCAATTTAAATATTAGAAGCTCTCTCTCCAGATTTTTGTTGAAGGATGAAAATATTTCTATTCGTAAAAATCAGTCACTAATACATAAACATACGTAAAGTTTAAAAAAAATTAAGAAAATTCTTGACGTACTGGTCGTTGGTTTAACAAATAACGAGCATCAACATTATATATATATAAAATAGATCGAATATAAAAAGTAAACAATAAATTGTTAACCAGGGCAAAAGGCAGGTAAGTGGGAACTGCTCCCGAAGAGCCTATTGTCCGTCGAGTCCCGATGGTAGAATTTTACCATTGTCAGGTTGGCATTCTGAGTGCATTCAGAAAAAGGGTTCCTGACAACTCCTCCACTCAGCCCGCTTCTGCCTTCTTGACACATTTCTGGCAAAATATGTACGTGCGAGGAAAAGTTTTTATCTGAGGTGAAAATGAAGGTCGAAAAGTCTTGGAGGAAAGGGGATTGATTAAAGTTTTTTTCTTCAACCGCGAACTTTAAAAACTTTAAATAATATATTCCTTATCCTAGAGAGTAACATACAAAATCTATTTTGTCAACGATTGTTTTACTATGTTGAAAAACGTATGCACCTATCCAATATTTCTTGCCAATGAGCCTGAAGAGACAAAAAATCTTTTAAGTAATTTAAATAATATTTTTCATTATTTTCTGCTTTTGGTGAGCAATATATAAGTCAATTTGTTTTTATCTAAGATGAAAAAATAATAAATAGGGCCGTATTAAATGAGTTAAGATATAAAATATAAAAAGTTACGAATCAGCTATGTAGTCCAAGTAAATTTGTTCTTCAAAAATCCACATCAGATTCGTTTTAAGCACCGTTTAGAAACATAAATAATAATTTTTAAAAGAACAAATTTTTGTACTAGATCATCATTTTTTCTCGTCTATGCTCTGTGTTTCACTGAAAAATTACACACCTCCGGTTTTATTTCAACTGAAATGTAATCACAAACGTTGGAATCGTGATGCAATCTTCTTTCAGCCGATGCCCAACTACGTTTGGGTTTTGTCATCATAAGTCTGGAAAGTAAGGATCAAATTCACAAAAAAATCCTCAAATTTCATTAGCTAGTTTTACTTGATTTCTCAGGTTCTGATTTATTTACGGAGGCCAGGGTTTTGTCATATAGGTGTAGTTTAAAGGGTTGGGGTAGTCCAATAAAACTTCAGTTGATCCTATTTTTATTTGGCCAACAATTCTTAGTAAACTTTGTTTCTTGCTTAAAAAAATATTTTAGCATAACCTACACAAAAATTAATAGGGATATTTGAAATTTATTCTTATTTCATTATGTAATTTTAATTAAATAAACCGATATATTCTAGTTAGTTGGATAAAACAAAATAGAAAATATAAACCAAAAACAAAAAAAATGCTAATCCTCATTTTTGATAATGGATTTACTTAACAATAAGTAAACATGAAGAATACTCATTTTGTAAACAAACATCTTTTCTCGTCTTTTTTCTATTTTAATCCAGTTGTATTCTCTTTAACCACGAAAATACATTATCTTGAACGAGAAGTTCGCAATATTATTGTGAGAAAGAGTCGTGGATATCGCAGAGGCACTTGGCGTTTCTCAGAGTGTGGGCGTTTTTCCCAGATTTCTGGAAGTGCCAATAGGAGTCGTGGTAGTGGATCTCAGCGCATTACGACGCTAAGGGAG